GAAAATATGGTTAACACCCGGTCATGCATGAAAAAAAAATACCATCTTGTACCGTGAAACCAGTATAATTTTGAAAAATACCGTGATATAAATTTTTGGTCATACCGCCCAGCACTACTCAAACATGATACTGAACAAATCATTCTGGCTCTGAAATCTGATTGGATGAGGCGCTTTTGAAGTCTAATTCAAACCTCAGCTGAATTCTGTATTAATGCATTGATTATTGATTCATAGATTTATTTTCCAGTGTTTCATTATTTGAAACTGTCAGTGGCTGATATAAGGATGTGGACAATGTCCTTATTTGTGAAAAATGTCATTCATTCATTCAATTATCCAAATAAATAAATATAAATATATAAAGTAAATATTATAAAAAATATTTCAAATAATTATTCATTTAATTATCAAATAATTAAATTAATAAAGAACAGTTATCAAATAAATAAATAGTAAATCAGTATCTGAAAAATAAATGAGCAATAATTATCTGATAAATAATAATTAGCTAATAAATAAATATACAGTTTTTTATTTATTGTGTTTTTTAATATTTTTAAATAATGATCAAATGAATAGCAAATAAATACTGATTGAATAATTAAATACATATTATCTAATAAATGACAATGATCAAATAAATAAATAATAATTAGCTAATTAAATCAATAAAGAGGAAATATCAGATAAATAAAAAATAAATAAATCAATATCTGAACAAATCAATGATTAATAATTATCTGATAAATAATAATGATCTAATTAAAAACTTATTTAATTGTTTGAAGAAATATAATTTTTACTTATTTATTTCATTATTATTATTTAAAAATATTTAAAAAATCACAATAAGTATGATTAAATAATAATTATCCTCATAAATTAATAAATAAATAGTTATGATAAATAAATAATAATCTGATACAATAACAAAAATTATTATCTGATATATATAAAACATGATCTGATAAATAAATATACAGCATTTTTTTGTTTAATGTCACAAAACGTCTGTGGAAAACACTGTTGCAGGTTTTTGTGTGTTTTTTCACAATGTCAGAAACACACCAGACACTCGCTGCGCGCTCGAGATCTGCTCATCCGATTAATGAATGATTATCCCATGAATTATTCTCTTGGACTCTCATTTCTCTCAGCCGCTCTTAAACTGCATTTTCTCCACTTTTCTTCACTTTTAATTTATTTGCCTCATTTACTGCAGGAATGTTTCTACAGCAAAGAAACACAACACACCAGACACCTTCATTGTGAAAATGATGGCAAGCATCTTGAATTATGCGTTAATGTTTTTCAAATTTGGAAACTGACGGGATTTTTTGGCACCTTTTTCAGTCTGTAAAGTAAAGTGTGTTAGTTCGGAAAGTTGAACTTGTTGACATCTGTTCTAGTGTGTCAGCTGTTTATCTGATGATTAGCACTATTTTTTTATTTAATATTTTATTTTATTTACAATGCATAATTGTGTTTTATTTAAAATAAAATATATATATTTTAATTTTTATTATAAGAATAAAAGAAATAATTAAAGAAATAAGAATAAAATAAAATGTATGTTAGTTAATTTTATTTAAAAAAAAATAAAAATGGTAAAGTAATAAAAGTGTTTTATTTTTTATTTTATTATTTTATTTTACCCTGTAAAGCCTGACATATTAAACAGTAGTCAGATTTTGTTTTGATGTTGTTTACGTATGTGTTTTTGTTTGGAAAGTTGAACTTGTTGACATCTATACTAGTGTGTCACATATCATTACATTATTGTATTTTATTTAAAATAAAATTGAACTTGTTGACCTGTACTAGCGTGTCACAACAGTTTATCTGATGATTAGTACTTTATTTTTTATTTTTATTCACAATATTTACATTTATTTAAAATAAAAAAGTTTTTTATTTACAATAATTGTTTTATTTTAATTAACATGAAAAATGTTTTTCTTTACAATATTTAAATCTGTTCTTTTTTTTCTCTGTTTTCTCGTTTCAAAAAATAAAATAAAATGTAAATATGTCAAATACAGTTATATATTTGTTTAATTTAAATGTTAGTCATTTTTTGAATCCGTTCTCGTCTCGTTCTCAGGACGGTGCGGACGTGGGACTTGAACTCGGAGAAGAAGCACAAGTCTGTGTTCAAGCCTCGATCGCAGCAGGGCAAGAGAGTGATTCCCACCTGCTGCACCTACAGCCGTGACGGCAAACTGATCGCCGCCGGCTGCCAGGACGGGACCATCCAGATCTGGGACAGGAACCTGAGCGTAAGTGCGCCTCTTCATCTTTATCTTTACGCTGCGCTGTTATCCTGGAGGAGACACGGGAAGTGAGACGGCTAATAAAAGGCTGCTGTTCAGCGTCACGCCAGTGTGACCGTCCCAGGGGTCAGAGGTCAGAGGTCATCAGAGCGGTGCTGTGTTTTACTGCGTTTACTGTGGTTCTGCTCAGCGTGGGTGTCCGACTGCCTCGTCTCCAGCCTGACGGGGATGAATAGGGCAGGAGGGACGCTGATTTGTTGCTGTTTGTTTGGTCAGGACATCCCGCCGGTGTGTGGTCTGACAGAATATATGAACATTCTCCAATCTCCACTTCAATATTCTATTCTCAGAAAAGTGTAATTTAAGTGTTAATTTCTGAGAGAGAGAGAGAGAGAGAGGCTGTGTATGTAAGAGTGAAGCTGTGGCTTTAATTGCTTTAGAAACAATGATGCTACCAGCTCCTTGTTGAGAAAGACAATGTAGCTCTTGAGCGATTAAGCTATTTTATTGATAAAATTGCAGGGCAGCGCTGAGAAGTTTGTGTTGCTGAATGTCTGTGTGTGCGCGCGCAGCGTGATCGGTGTGTGTGTGCGTGAGATTCAGTGAAGAATCTTTTTTAGTTTAAAACTCTTCCAATTTTTATTTTTATTTTTTAAATGTAGAAAGTGTGTTAATTTGTGCAATGATAACCTACCAGCAATGTTAAGATGATTTTTCTTATATTAGAATGACTACATTACAATATAAATTTATTAGAATGAGTACATTATTATTTATGGGCTTAAAAACAAGATGCAAACAATGCTCCTTGTTGAGAAAGACAATGTAGCTCTTGAGCGATTAAGCTATTTTATTGATAAAATTGCAGGGCAGCGCTGAGAAGTTTGTGTTGCTGAATGTCTGTGTGTGCGCGCGCAGCGTGATCGGTGTGTGTGTGCGTGAGATTCAGTGAAGAATCTTTTTTAGTTTAAAACTCTTCCAATTTTTATTTTTATTTTTTAAATGTAGAAAGTGTGTTAATTTGTGCAATGATAACCTACCAGCAATGTTAAGATAATTTTTCTTATATTAGAATGACTACATTACAATATAAATTTATTAGAATGAGTACATTATTATTTATGGGCTTAAAAACAAGATGCAAACAATCAGAATATTGTACCTGGTGGTGAGTGCCCAATGTTAACATGAACCTCTTATCGTGACATAGGCAAAACAAATTTTTGGGCCCCCCCATCCCTATTAATATATAATATTACCACCCCAGCAAACAAAAATATTTCGTAATCAGTGGAAACCCTTACATTGTTTTCTATCGCAATAAGCGTTTGCGTTCAGTCAATAAAGATCAATTGAAGTTCTTAATTTGTTTGAGAACTGAGAAAGACCATTCCATTAATAAGCTCCGGCGTCGTGGCCACATTACCACTTCGGGAGTGCATTATTTCTCTAATGATTTTAACGGCCTGGAGTCACATCCACACCTCAAGACATTGTTCAGATGATTTATTTCAAGACATCTGTCACGTTTCCGTCCTGAAATCTCGTGTGTGTTGAACTAATTTCTTATGCACCTCATAAACCTTCCTTTGCAAATTCCAAAACGTCATTTTAGAGCTAATAACAGAGGCTTGAGCCATTGATATGCAGGCTAATGCAGTTATTAATGCAGTCTAATGCGGTTATTAGAGAGAGAGAGAGAGAGATTTAAGCATGTGTGTGAATACCTGCGTCTGTGCGTCTCTCTGCAGTGTTCAGCAGCAGCGTCTACTAATAGCGAATCTGTAAGTTGAACTGCTTCAAGAACCTAAAACCTAGCGTTTTAGCTGTGAAGCTATTTTATTGATAAATTCACGGGGCAGCGTTGACAACATGTTTGTGTCCACGTCTCCGCGTGTGTGCGCGAGTGCGTGTCTGTAATGTGTGTGTGTCTGTGAGAGAGAACGGGAGAAAGAAAGCATGATTTCCGTACATAAAAAAAGGTGGAAAACATGGAAATAGGCTAGTTGTCATTTTTTACCCTATTGTTTGTTGTATTTATTTGCTCAATGTCTTCTGGGGTTTTGGTTCTTTTACTGTTGTAGATAGCCCATAGTATAACAAAAAATATTATATATCTCTTCATTGTGTTTGGGCCCCCCTGGACGAGCGAGCATAGGCACGTGCCTAGAATGCCTATGCGTAAATCCGGCCCTTATTATTGTACTGTGGTGCAGTTATGGAGGCCCTTCATAATGGAGAGGTCAGCTGCCTGCTCTGGCAATAGTTAGAAATGGCCCTATAGTATGCAGTGTTTAATAAACAGCTGTTTTACTAAATTCTGTTGAGGTGAAATTCAGTGCAGTCCTGTATCGTGATACGCATCGTATCGTGACTTTGCTGGTGATGCACAGCCCTATTAATCAGTAATAAATGAATCAAATGAAAGTGAGCTCATCACTGCTCTGTGTAGTTTGGCGTGTGAGGAACGTTCTCCTGTGTTCACATTCAGTGTTTGTGCTGGAGAAAGTGACTTTGTGCTGTTGTTTTTTTGGGGAGAGTGAAAATGAGCTGGATTTGACTAATACCACAGACTGAGTGAAAACAGATCACAGCACAGACTGCAATTATATGCACAACAATAGTCCAGTGTTATGATGGGTTCAGACTACACGATATTTTTGTCGGTCACGATAGTCACCGTGTCAGATTACACGATTATTTTTCAATTAATAATACGAAATAATACTACTACTAATACTAATACTACTACTACCAGAGTTGGGTATAACGCATTACTGTATTCTAATTACTTTTCCTGATAAGGCAGTAATGTAATGCGTTACATTTTAAATTGATGTAATTTGATTACAGTTAACAATGTCAATAAAATTACGTTACTTAAGTTACAAATGCAGTGTTAAGAAAAAATATGCAGTAAAATGCATTTTAAAATCATGTTTTGTGCGTCAGTATGCCCTTTAATAAATCACCGGAGAATGCGAGTTAAAAATGGAGACGAGTCCTACAACATTTAGATGCAATGATCATATTTCTAAATGTTGCACTCGATTTCACATATTTTAGTCTGGCATTATAGTTTGGGAAAAGTTCAACTAGTAAATGTGTACAAGTTTGTCACAATAACACTAATATAAGTAAAAATAAAGACTCATCAGAATGAGATCAGATTACTTTATCAGAGAATATTTGTTTTCGATATGACTTCATTTAAAAGCAGATACATCAAGCTATCTTTAGATAGTTTCTCATGTCTGTGTGTCAAGTATTCGCTTGAGTTTTCATTCATTTTAGTGGCGTTTCAGAAAGATATTCACAGAGACTGAGACGACTGAAAGCGCACCCTGTTTATTTTCTTTATTTTACAAAAGCACAGGGTTTTGTTTTTAGTGTATGCAAATAAAAGTAGACCCTTTACGGTTTCAAATGGTGTATTATTCTTATCTGTACGATCAAAAATGACAAAACATTTTAAAACTTTTTGCTGTTGTCAGGAAAAAAATTCAAGTGATCGTTCATGTTTCTGTTTTGATACTTAGTCCTATGTAATTTTTCAGTAAATATTAAATTACTGAAAGAACTATGAGTTTCACTTTGCAGTGTATTTTTTAGGTTTGATGACTTGAAACAGTAAACTTGAAAGTAAAGTAATTAGTAATCTGATTACTTTTTAAATGCAGTAATCAGTAATGTAATCAAATTACAATTTTAAAGAAGTAATTAGTAATTTATAGTGGATTACTTTTTTTGAGTAACTTACCCAACACTGACTACTACTACTACTAATAATAATAACAATAGAAAATGTTAATATAATTTTTCTGTTTTCTGTTGAAATATATTTACAGTTGAAGCACATTTAAAACATTTGTTGGTCATTACATGGCATCCAGTGTAAAATCTAGTCCTGAACAGAAGCTATTTAAGACCAGCTTTATTTTATTTCATTACATTTAATTGTATTTCCATGGTAGCTGACATGTCATTAGACTATAAACAATCAGACAAACATTTAAAAAAATATATTTTTTAATTTTATTTTACAGCCATTAAAAGCACTATCATGAACTAAGTGTCTTATGAGCCACATTTTCAGTTCATTGCACTTTTGTGTGTTATTGTTTAAAGAAATTAACGAGAATCAACGAGCCAAATTGGGGGGAAAAAAGTAAACAAAAAGGCAGTTTATTGGTTTATGCTTATTACATAAAGCAGTACTTTTTTTGCTGTAAAGCTTGCAAACCATAGAATGAATTCTAACTGGAGAATAGAACTTAGTAGTAAAATAATGCATGTAAATGTTGCATTTTTCCTCTCTTGTTTGCTAAATGTTTTGAGTAGCAGTTAAAGTCACCTTCCTCTTATTAATTTCCAGCTGAGGTCATTGACATATGTGATGAGAAGTGTGTAGCCATGTCTCTTAGCAGGTAAAAAGTCGTTGTTTCAGCCAACTTCAGATTGTAGATTTTCGGCTCTTGACCCCTCAGCGGACGTGACTCATTGGCTTTGACGTTGATCTGTTTATTATCAGGATCCCAGAGGAAATAAGCAGGTGAGAGAGAGAGATTTTCATAACTTCATTCACAGCTGTGCTTTACTGCATTGTATGGCTGTAATGAAAAGAGCTCTAGAAACTCTTCCGAAAGCAATTTTAATAGATTGAGTAGGTGTCGTTCAGTCACTCAGAATTGTTGTTGGTCTTTTCCCATGACATGGCCACTTTGATGGATGTTATTGCCACATTCTCCACAAACTTCATTCCCAACAACCGTGGAAAGTTTACATCAGAGTTCCTCAACGAGTGAGTCGAGCCCCAAAAATGAGTCTCAGATCTGTTCTGAGCTAAAACAACAATGCGGATTACCTGAATACTAAAAATAAAATACAGCTATAATTATAGATCATATAACAATAAATAAAACATTTGTGTTGTTTTATGTTTTATCAACTCTTGTTTTTGTATTATGTATGTAATAGACATTTATAATAAAAATATTTAATAGAAT